TTATAAGTAAATAGAAGCTAAGCCAAGCTGGATCTGAGCAAAAGCGTGCACAAGCATAGATATCAATACATGACCTATTCCCCCTCCCCTTGGTAACCCCAGCCCATAGTCCAATCCAATATCTCCACAGCTGTTATGTGGGAGACATCTTCAAAAATTATCATCAGGTTGGTATGCCGGACAGTTGGCCTTGGCGGGAAACTCCTCTCCCTGCCACATGCGCAGTAGATGGTGAGAACACTCCCAATTAACAGTTCTCCTGTACATATTTCCCACACCCAAATACCATGCTCCCCCTCCCCATTTCAATGGCAGCCGAAAAGCAAGCAGCAAAACAGAGGCTGACACACGGGTATCCAGCTATTTTTTTCTATAAATAAGAACTACAGAAGATTCTAAATGCATTTTCCCCTAAGCTTTCATGGATTAAAACTTTTTCCAGTAACCAAGGTTCTTGGATTCAGATGCTTTCAAACCGCAGAAAGTAGAATTACACTAATTGTGTTTTTGTTTTTACTCATAATTTATTCATTTTCTTAAAAATCATGTTTGGTTTAGGAAATCCAAAGTGGGAGGACAATTTTTGGGCAGTTAATGGGATGGAAAGACAAAAGAGAGATTCAAGAGATTCTGCAGGATGGAAAAAAATATACCACCCTCAAGTGTGGAGAATTGAGTCCCATTTTAAACTTCTGCCAGAGGTCTATGCTCATTTATTTCACATCAATCATCTCTCTGAGAGACAGCAGCTCCGGGGGGGGCGGGGGTGGTCTCTCTCATATAATCTTTTATGCTGAAGAAGGAAGGCAGGATGAACCCTTGTTCATTTCATATAAAGCAAGTAAGCTAAATGAAACCAATATTACAGAATACAGAATAACAGAGTTGGAAGGGACATTGGAGGTCTTCTAGTCCAACCCCCCGCTCAAGCAGGAGATCCTATATTATTTTAGACAATTGGTTGTCCAGTCCCTTCTTAGAAGCCTCCAGTGTTGGGAGCACCTACAACTTTTGGAGGCAAGCTGTTCTACAGATTAATTGTTCTAACTGACAGCAAATTTCTCCTTAGTTCTACATTGCTCTCTCCTTGATTAGTTTCCACCCATTGCTTCTTGTCTTGCCTTCAAGTGCTTTAGAAAATAAGTTGACCCCCCTTTTCTTTGTGGCAGCCCCTCAAATACTGGTAGACTGCTATCATGTCACCTCCTGCTCCTTCTTTTCACTAGACTAAAGGCAAAGGTTCCCCTCGCACATGCTCTATCTGCTAGTCGTTCCCGACTCTAGAGGCCGGTGCTCATCTCCGTTTCAAAGCCGAAGGGCCAGCACTGTCCAAAGATGTCTCTGTGGTTATGTGGCCCGCATGACTCAACATCAAAGGGGCACAGAATGCTGTTATCTTCCCACCAAAGGTGCTCCCTATTTTTCTCCTTGCATTTTTTANCTGGGCAATGGCGTTGACCCTCTGGAGCACTCTCCTATCTGCCACTGTGCAATTGGCAAACCATACACAGGTGCAGTAAGTTAAAATACTCTCTACGGTGCAGCAGTAGAAGGTCACCAGCAGTTTTGCATTCAGTTGTTGTTTCCTGAGAAATCTCAGGTGGTATCATCTCTGCTGGGCCCTTTTGACCAGGGCTGCAATGTGAGTTGCTCCAGGTAAGGTCCATTCAGGAAAAGGTTGTCCCAAAGGTGTTTTTATTTTATATATTTAAAAAATTCCATATGAGCTGAGACTGGCCCTGCAGTCAAACTACAGCTCATGTCCTCTTAAACTGCACCTTCTATATAGATTCACAGATCCATCTCATAACCCTTCACCTGACAAAATACCTGGGAAAAACCACCAATCTTTTTATGTACAATTGCTTTTATCAGATCAGTCCAATGTAATTCTCTTCGAATGTAGTCCAATGTGGCTATACTTGTCTGAAAAAATAGGCAGTTTTTGACCGCCCTCTGCCAATCTACCAACTCATTATTAAATATTATCTTGTCTTTTGTTGTTATTTTATTTTATTTTGAATGCTTCTAAGTTGCAAAGCTGGTCTGTGGTGGTGATAAAATTGCTACTACTCTGATTTTATTTAAAAGGCTACTGGACTTTTTAGTTTTTCTTTAGGATATTTCGCCTCTTGTTCAAGAAGCTTCTTCCGTTCTAACTAACTGGTGAGGGATGAAATGAAATTCCCCCCATTAGTTGAAACTGAAGAAGTTTCTTAGATGAGAAAGCCCAGTTGCCTTTAGAATAAAAGCAGCTTTGAGACCAGGTACTGGAGACTAAGTTTCTAGTTTCCCAAATGTGCTTATCTTCTCCATAATTCCAAACCTCAGTGCCCATCAATTCCAACACAGCATAAAAATCTCTCTCTCTCTCTCTCTCTCTCTCTCTCTCTCCCCCTCCCTCCCTCTCCCCCCCCCCACATTTGGTGGAGGGTGAAATCCAAGGTAATAATTTTATAAGCATGATGGAAATGTTTTATGCTGTGTTTATGTTTTCGTAAATTTTCACGGGTGTAGGTATGTNTTTATATTTATATTTATATTTATATTTATATTTATATTTATATTTATATTTATATTTATATTTATATTTATATTTATATTTATATTATTTATATTTATATTTATATTTATATTATTTATATTTATATTTATTTGGGACCTTTTGCCCATCAATAAAATTGATGGACTGATACTCATTCCTTTAATGCCACAATTTGCAAAGTGGCCCATCTTGCAATGCTTTAAGCAAAGAACAAGGATTAAAACCCAAACCAAACACAACATAGATAAAAGAACAAAAGCAACATCACGATGTATCGTAATACACACAAGGTCTAAAAACAATCCACCGTTGTTGTTGTTTTTAATGATCTTAGGCTATGCAACAGATGCTTTTGGAGAAAGAGTTTAAGACTGCAATTCATGTTTGGCAGCAGGCTTTTTAAAAGAACAGAGCGCCTTCAGCAATCTTGGGAAAGCGAATACAAAGTGAACCATTTGCAAATTTTATAACTGTTATAACTCTCTACCTAACTAGTGCATTTCTGCTTAGGTAAATGAATAAAAGTAAACCCAGGTGGTGTCCTGAAATGTTCCTACCTGCAGCCCCGGAACAGACACTGGGAGTTTGATGTTCAAGAAACTGCGGACTAACTGATAGGTTCCAGGTACTCCACCCAGCTGGGCTTGGTGCAAATTTCCAAAGACCGTCATCAAGGTGTAGTTCTTGTAGCTGCAAGGAATCAAGCACAGCTGATCAGTCAGGATAGCTGGACATCCTTTTACTGATTTCACACAAAGGATCAGAATCAGAGCTGGAAAGGGCCTTGGAGGTCTTGTCATCCAGCTCCCTCCTCAAGCTGGAGACCCTATACCATTTCAGACAAGTGAACGCCTCCAATGATGAAGCACCTACAACTTCTGGTGACAAGCTGTTCCACTGGTTAATTGTCCTCACTGTTAGTTCTACAACATTAGGGAGTTTCTCCTTAATTCCAGGTTGCTTCTCTCCTTGATGAGTTTCCATCCATTGTTTCTTGTCCTGCCCTCAGGTGCTTTGGAAAATAAATTGACTCCTTCTTTGTTTTGTGGCAACTTCTCAAATACTGGAATGCTGCTATCCTGGCCTGTTTTGTTTGTTGTTGTTGTTTTGCAAAAAACAGGGCATGCAGAGGCTTTGGGAGGCTTGTAGAGTGCTCCTAGGGGCTGGGGAAGAAAGCCCATTTTTCGCTCATTTTTGCCCTCCCCAGCCCCTAGGAGCACTTTGCAGGCCTCCCAAACCCTCTGCACGTCCATTTTTGCAAAGGAGGCAGGGTTTCGAGAGGCCAAAAATGCTGTATTCAGTGTATAAGATGCACCCAAATTTTCTCCCTCTTTTGGGGGGGGAATAAGGTGAGTCTTATACTCCAAAAAATATCGTATGTTCAAAGGGAGCTCAGACCTTGTTAAAATAATAATTCTACCAGGCTTATTTCCTTTTTTCCCCACAAGTACAAGTAAGTCTTTGACTTACAAGCGCAATTGGGACCAGCCCTAGGATTCTATGTCATGGCAGACAAACGGCAGCTTCCTGGGAGTTCCCCCCCCCTCCCCCATTTAAGGATTTGTACCTTTGCTCAAGGTATTGTAAGGCCTGCCTCACAAACTCCATTTGCACCTCCATGCTGGTCCGTGTTTTCAATGTGTCACTCGCAGGAACCAGCAGGACATCCGTCATGTGCTTCACCATGGCCCACAAGTCAGCAATGCTCTGCAACACATGTGGAAGAGACACAGTGATCTTGAGACAACACTTTTGTAAATGATAGCATTCAAAAGACAGGAGTTAACGATGGATAGGCTACAATACACACACACACACACACACACACACACACACACACACAGAACTCTGGTGATGGACTCCCCCCTCCCGCTCTCTCTGCCTCTCACTGTCTGTCTGTCTGTCTCTGTCTGTCTGTCTCTGTCTCTAGATAAATGGATGGATGGATGGATAGACAGACAGACAGTGAGATAGACAGATAGACAGACAGTCAGACAGAGACAGACAGACAGACAGACAGACAGACACACACACACACACACACACACTGTTCATAACTAGGGCTGTGCATGGGATTCCCTTGAGTTCCCTTGACTTTAATAAGCTGATTCATTAAACGAGACACCACTTTTTCCAGGCTAACCTGGAAGCCTGAAAAATAGCAAAATAGCTTTAATAAGCAGCACAAAGGCCTGGGGTTTATGAGATACGCAAAATACCTTTTCTCAAAGTATTTTTAGAGCAGGCACAACTCTGAAACGGGAGGGAGGGAGAGAGGGGGAACCAAGGAGTTTTACTCTTAAGTGACAGACTGTAATCCAAATTAAAAAAAACAGAATAATTTCTGAAGCTAAATTATAAACAATACCTTATCTTCCAATTCTGCCACAGTAGCACAAAGGTCTACCAAATTAGGCTGAAGATGTCCGCTCACAATCTTCTCATTATACATATAAATCTGAAAAAGAGCAACACAGACAGGTGTCCACCATAGTGCAAACCAGTCCCTCCCTTTGCATAACACCCTCCTCGCTTACACCCGGACTCCCCCAGCCCTCCGGAAGCCTGAAAATCAGCTGCCCAGCACGCATGTGTGCCAGAGCTGACGGCTCATGCGCGGCGAATACGGCTCTGTGTGCAACCTGTGGCACGCGTGCCATAGGTTTGCCATCCCAGCTATAGGTCGTCTGCACAAGCTCAGCCTGGCTGGCTGGGATTAGACCTTTGGACCAATTGTCTTAAGACTTTTAAAATGGAGAAGCGAAAAAGTATTGGACAAAAATAAAGATATGGTTGGAAAAGATGATAAAGCGTATTGCGTTTAAACCCATATATCCCCAATATTTTTGGGGGGGATCTTACCTGAAACTTATAATAAATAAAGTACATATTCAATTATTCATGTATTAGCAGCAGCTAGAATTGCATTTGCACAATACAAGTGAAGAGATTCCTACTGAAGGGAAGGTGATTAGGAAACTATTAGAATGTGCAGGAATGAATAGACTAACGCTAGCAATTAAGAAGAAAGAACAAACTGATTATTATACGATATGGGAAGCAATAGTTAAGAGAATTAAAAAAAGGAAATTGAAAAGGAAGAAGACAATAAGAAGAATAGAAAATACATTAAGATAAAAAATAAGAATAAAATGGCGATTGATAACATGAAAAATAAAATGACTGGAAATCGGTACGATTTCATTTTGCAAACGTACAAAATCCTTAAAGTTGCCAGAGATGTCTTTGTTATAATAAGACGGGAGTGGGAGCGTGGGGAAAGCTGCAGAGAGACAGTTTTTAAAAAACCAAGAAGATGGTCCAATCCTGCAGGCAAAGCTTTTCCATTTACTTCCATATCCTACAATTGGTACAACTCAGTTATTGGCACAAATTGCAAAGATCTTTGCTGTAGGAAAAAGCCCAGAGTTTCCTAAAACTGCTCTTGGTTCAAGTGGGGTACTCACCTGTCGGGCGTAGGCCATTTCTGTATTGTCCAAGGAACTGCGACCTGGTGGAGGCAACTCACTGACGTAACTGGGCTGTTGAGAGAAGACAAAAAGGCTGCTCAATCATTGGTTTCAATAGAAGAGAATATTTATATCTCAGGGTTGAACTGTGGGGTCTTGGGAGCTCCCAGAGCTTTGTGGTTTTCTTGCAGACGTTTCATGTCCATACTAGATTATGTCATCAGTGCAACAGGTAATGATCCACTGATGTGGTAACCCATTTTGGACGCTGATTACCTGGCTTACTTTTTTCTCTAAGCACCTCCCTTTTTTAAAAAAAAAAAAAAAGCAGAATTCTACAGCATAAAATCATGCTTTTTTTTTTACTTTACATAATTGGGTGTTCAGTATTTATACAGTAGCCAGTCAGAAATCCTGCTTCCTTCGGAAACGCTAATTCTNTGTCGCCGCGTTGATGACATCAGCGACGCAGTTTAGTCGGGCGCGGTTTTGTCGTTCGCCCTTTTGTCGGGTCACGACCTTGGACAAACCCAATTCCTACAACCATTTTTCATATGTTTTAAACCCCCCCCCCCTCTCCCCGGCCGGCAGTCATCTTTGTATTCGGAAGGTAGTCCTCAATTTAATGATCACAAAGTAGTCTGGAATGTCAGTTGTCAATCATTATAGTATAAGGCACCACATGAAACGACTTGAATTTATTACCATTTTTTAAAAGGTTGTAAAGCACATTGCTGTGGCCATTAAGCAAATCCACTGAGCTGCGGTGGCGCAGGGGTTAGAATGCAATATTGCAGGCTAATTCTGCTTGAGTGCCAGCTGCTGGCAGTTCGATTCTCACCAGGCTCAAGGTTGACTCAGCCTTCCGTCCTTCCAAGATGGGTAAAATGAGGACCCAGATTGTGGGGGGCAAATAGGCTGACTTTGTAAACTGCTTAGAGGGAGCTATAAAGCACTGTGAAGCCGTATATAAGTCTAACTGCTATTGCTATCCAATGGGTGTTTTTGTCATTTGCAGTCAGAAAATGGCAAAAAAATATATTATTTTTTGCCAATTGCGATCTTGTGGCTGCAGGATTCTGCAATCAATTGTAAATGCCAGCAAAATACTTTAGAAATTTGGCATCATTTTCTTCTGGGTTTCTTTAAATTTCCAATTCAGTCCATTCTCGTGAATGTTCAAGTCTATAGTCCTAGGAAGTCTTCAAAAATGATCTCATTTCTCCATATGTTTAAATTTTGTATTATACATTATTTCCACACTTATTTGAAATGCAATTTATGGAATGAGGATATCTAAAACAAAGTATCTACTTTTTTACTTGGCTTATACCTACCGGATGCCTTTTGTGTTCCAATTATGAATTATGAGTAAAAGACTCGATACTGTTTCAGATTTTGTCTATCTAAACTGCCACTGAAATGTTACTTATGTGGCATTCTTTACCTGATTTTAGACGTTTAATAATTAGGCAAACAATGAAAGATGTCTGTGCAGATACTAAAAAACTAAGGAACAGAATACTGATCAAATTCAGCAATTATCACCTTTTCCAAACAGCATTATCTCTTTCAAAATGTTTTTTTTTCATTATTGACTAATAAAATTCCATTGTGCCAATGTGCTCATTATGTTTTTAGTAAAAGATGTAAATTTCGGTGTTGACATCCAAATTTAAAAATGAAGTGAGAGTTAAGGCACCTAATCTCTTTTGGAAAATTCAACATAAACTAAAAAGTAGAATGGGGATGGGGAGAAGAGGAGAGGAGAGGAGAGGAGAGGAGAGACGAGACGAGACGAGACGAGAAGAGAAGTGTTTTCTAGTCCAACCCCCTGCTCAAACAGGAGACCCTACCATTCCAGAGAAGTGGCTGTCCAGTCTCTTCTTGATAACCTCCAGTGAACCCACAACTTCTGAAGGCAACTTCTCTTCCACTGGTTAATTGTTCTCACAATTAACCAGTTTCTCCTTAATTCCAGATTGCTTCTCTCCTTAATTAGTTTTTAACCATTGTTTCTTGTCCTACCCTCTGGTGCTTTGGAAAATAAGTTGACAACCCCCACCCACCCCCTTTCTTTGGGGCAGCCCAAGTAGTTTGCCAATGAATCAATGTTCTCTTTCTGCTCATCATAAAACCTTATATCCTTTGTAACTTTAGTTGTGGGCATGAATCCAAAATAGTGCCCACTCATATATCAGCAATATATCTATGTTGGTTAACGTGACACACGTCAAGGTAAATGAATGACTGGTTTGACCTCTATTTGGAAGAGTCCCAAGTCACTGGCATTGAGATGCAACATGCAAAATGTAGGAAGTCCATGACTTACAATTGTTTAGGGACCATTAGAAACTGAAAAAAGGGATTTATAGCCATTGCAGCATTCCAAATTTTGACGCTTGGCAACTGGCATGTGCTTATGACGGTTGCAGTGTCCAAGGATGATGTGATCACCATTTCCCATATTGACTTTGCTTCTCAGAAACCACCTGGTTTCTGAGAAGCAAAGTCAATATGGGAAGTTGGATTCACTTAATGACATGATTCCCCTAACAACTGCAGTGATTTGCTTAACTGTGACAAAAAGGTTGTGAAATGGGATGCAGCTCCTTTAACAGCTCTGAAAAAAGTGACTTGTGAATGTTTTTCACAGTAGTAGCATCCCTGGGACCACATCGCAGCAACTGTGAGAGGGATCTTGGGGTCTTAGTAGACAACTAGTTAAATATGAGCCAGCAGTGTGCAATGGCAGCAAAAAAAGCCAATGCAATCCTAAATTGCATTAACAGAGGGATTCAATCAAGATCGTGTGGTACTAATACCACTCTAGTAAAAGCCTTAGTAAGACCACACTTAGAGTACTGCATCCAGTGTTGGTCACCATACTATAAAAAAGATGTTGAGACTCTACAAAAATGAAGAAGAGCAACCAGAATGATTAGAGGACTGGAGGCTAAAACATACGATGAACGGTTGCAGGAACTGGGCATAGCTGGTCTAGTGAAGAGAAGGACCAGGGGAGACAGGATTGCATTCTTCCAATATTTGAGGGGCTGCCAGAGAGGAAGGGGGGTCAAGCTATTTTCTAAAGCACCTGAAGGCCAGACAAGGAATAATGGATGGAAACTGAACAAGGAGAGATTCAACCTGGAAATAATGAAGAATTTTTTGGCTCTGAGAACAATCAAGAGATAGAATAGAAGTCGCCTTCGGAAGTTGTGGGAGCTTCATCGCTGGAGGCTTTGAAGAAGAGATTGGACTGCCATTTGTCAGAAATTGTGTGGGGTCTCCTGTTTGAGGGGTTGGACTAGATGACCTACAAGGTCCCTTCCAACTCTGTTAATCTTTTAAATAATCAAAATTCAGCCGCTTCACAATTGACTCATATTTATGATGGTTCAGGATCGTGGAGTCACCTTTTGTGACCTGATAAGCAAGGTCCATCGGCCAAATTCACAACAACTGTGTTACTAAGCTAACAACTGCAGTGATTTGCTTAACCACTGTTCCAAGAAAGGCCGTAAAATGGGGGACTCACTTAACAACAGTCTTGCTTAGCAACGGAAATTGTGGCTTAAATTGTGGTCGTAAGTCAAGGACTAGCTGCAGGTCCTCAGAACCTAAATTGATCACTGTCATATTAGTTTTTTAATGGGGAAGGCACAGGCTTCCTGCCAGAGATAAAAGTCTTGATGTTCTCAGCATGGATCCCAGAAAACACATGTTCTCAGAGCCAACTCCAGATGTGCGCAGGCTAAAAATCTGAGAATTGCAATTTTGACAGCTGTAGTCCTAACAAATCCTGGGGAATGCCAGCTTAGAGAAGGCTGCACTTAAAGAGATTTGCCAACGGAACTATAATGTTATGCAGGAATTCAGACAACAAGATGACAAATTCATAGATATCATTCACAAGGGCATCATCAACTAAAATGGGCATTTAAATGTTGTTTCTCTCAATTATGTTATGGCTACACTTTCATCAAGGACTGTGTATCTGTTCCCTCCCATCCTTCCATATGACTGCTCTTACAGTAGTGGCTGAAATTGTGAAAATCTTTTGGGAAAAGTGTATTTTTGAGGTTTGATGGCGAATAATGCCACTTTATTTGAAGTAGTACCACAAACGTATACATCAATGGAAAGATAATTTAATCAAGAATGTAATTCAACAAGGTTTGTTCAATTATCTGTATTCTATGAAAAGTTATAGCCAAATATAGCCAGCAATAAAACCCAGTTAATAGAAGTGATCGTTCAATCTTGGTTTCACATTATAACAGCAGCAGTACTAAAAGACTTGGTTCACTCCATGGGAAGACGCTGTAAGGCCGTAATTCATGCTAAAGGTTAGTCAACTAAATATTAACTGACATGGTGATAATTTTTGTATATCTCATTTCACTTTTCTTCTTTATAACTGCTATTCTAATAGCAAATCCTTCATAAACGTTACTGCATTACATTCTTAATTAAATTATCTTTCCATTGATATATAATTTTATGATACTACTCCTCCCAAAAAAGTGGTGTTATCAGCCATCAAACCTCAAAAATACTGTACACTGTTCCTGAAAGGTTTCCACAATTTTGGCGGAATAATTACAAATTAAGAGTTTGAAGGGCAATTTGACTTATGGGCACAGTGCCATTTTGTGCTTGGAAAGCAGATTAAGTTGCTGGATACTGCTTTCCTTGTTAAATCTTGCCTTTCCTCCAGTAGTTGGGGATTTCATTTTACCCAACCACAACCTGTGACTAGACTGGGCAGAGAAAAAAAATGATATTTTGTCTGAAAGTATGCAGTTCCAGCCAAGCTGCAAAATGCTCGGGGTGCACATATCTGCAGAGGTACCCCATTCCCTAATTTTTTAGCACAAGTTGGTTGAGTCCAATTTCAATTGAGGGTCATTGATTTCTCCATAAAAATCAAGCTATCTTGCAACCTCGATGTTCTCTTTCCTTTGTCTTAACAGACATCTGTTTCAATAGGATCCTGGCTTTTTGGAAAGGAGTGAAAACATAGCTCTGTGATTTGCATGGGGAGTCCAGAATAATCATCGAATCAC